AAATTCGGTTTCCCTCTGCCAATAACAACATCGTTAATAGTCTATGCAGAATTTGAAAACTTAATAGAAATCAATAAATCTAGAAATATTATCTACGATTTTGGTAACTAATAATGAATTCTTCAGAAATTCATAGAATACTCTCTCATGACAAATGGACAGCAAAGTACTACACTGGAGTTTTCCCTTCAGATAAAATCCCAGATGTTCATCGTTTCCCAGCAGCTATTGTAGTCAACACTGATAAACACAACGAGAAAGGGACGCACTGGCTGGCTTTCTTCATTGAAAATAATCAGACTTTAGAATTTTTCGATTCTTATGGACTTCCTCCCATGACTTATGGTGATGACATAGCAAAATTTACTAGCAAGTTTAACTGTGTGACATGGAATCAAGTTTCTCTTCAGAGTGTAACATCAAATGTTTGTGGACAATATTGTACTTATTATTTGTTAAAACGATGTCAAGGATTATGTTTGGAATCAATTGTATCTAATCTTTCTGTAAGAAATAGCGATTTTCATGTATTTCATTTTGTGAAGAAAAGGTATGGTGTAAAAATGATTTTTAAGAAATAAAATATTAATTTGCTTGGAATTTTAGTTTTGTCTTTCTTATTAATAAAGTGCAATTTACAATTTTCTTAAATAACTTTTCTTTTTTTTTAGTTATAGAATAAATTTTAAAGGTTTCATTTAAGCTTAAAAAAATTATTTTCCATTGTAAATTACTGGAAAAAAAAAAGATTTATTTTACTCATGACATCTGCACATTTTTTAAGGAAAAAAAACTTACCTTTAAAAAAAAAAAAAAAAAATCTGGATCATTTTTTTTCAACCTGAAATTAAAAAAAATATTTTTTCACACACAAAAAAACACACCAAATTTAATTTAACTAATATCTTTCTTTTATTTAATATTTTATCCAAGAAGTTGAATACAAATTTTCTTTTCTTTTTTTACACATTTAGGGTTTAGCATACATTGTAAAACAGATACTTGTTTTTTTACAAACTCCCTGGGAAAATCTACAACATCTAAGAATTTTTTTAAAAACTCTTCATAACCTACAGGCTTGGTCTGTTGATTTCTTAACAAATAATTCACCAAGTCTTGAACATTAGAATTATTAATTTTAACTTGGTTCATGATTAATTCTTTAGATGGAGTCCATGTAATAATATCATTGTGAAGTTTTAAAAAGTCTATAATTCTTTTGGCAATGTTCTTAAATTTCACTGGAGCGCGGAATTCACAATTTCTTCTTCCATGGTAAACTTTTTCTCTTCTTCTTTGCTAAGCTGAACACTTTCTTGTGTTTCTGATTTTAATTGGGGAAATGTTACATATTTTTGAAGTATTTGAAGGTATTGCTTGGCTTTTTCATCTTCGGATAACTTCTCGTTTAAAATGGTGCTCATTTGCTGATCTAAATCTGATAAATGGTTTTCAGCAAATTCTAATTCTCGATCCGAGGGTACAAGGATAAATTTACGAGCGAACTCCATTAATTAATGTGCTCAGTACAGAGAAACTGCGGCGGCAGGAATGAGCAACGAAAGAAATCCATCACCTTTTTGTACCAATAGTCTCCGTTTTTTAAATAAGGGTATCTTTTTTTTTATCACCTAATGTACGCAAAGTCCGTTTATATACGGCCAGTTTTACGTTTCTGTCTTTTAGACAAAGGAACGTTACCCTGTAATACATTTAAAGCACATTCACATACACTTTTAATAACACTATTGGGACATTTTCTTAGAAGAGTTTTTTTTTTTACTTTACTTTTGCCTAGGAGTTTAAGATGTTCCAGGCTCGACATCTGGACCTCAAATGATTGGTACTTTAACAATTCCTTCTCTTTTATAAAGGTCGCATAAGCAACCGCTTTTTGTGCAGATCTTATATTTTAGGACATTTTTTTTAAATAATCTAATTTTCAAAAAAAAAAAAAAAAAAAAAAAAAAAAAAAAAAAAAAAAAAAAAAATTTTTCGGTGTGGCAAAATTTTATTCTTTTACAATGTAAAAGAGAGTTTTAAAATTTTAAAAAAACCTACAAATTAAATCACTGAAGGAGGAGAAAACTTGTTGAGTGCAACAGCAACTAACGGAGTTCATAAACAAAATGCTTATCTGAAGGGAAAATGCCTGTACGTAACCTTAACATTTCTTGGGTTTCTGGTCTTAAATCTATTAGTAAATAACTGTAAGGGTTTGAAGTTGCATCCTGGAAGACTTCCTGAAAAGCCTTTGTTTTTCCCGGGGAACATCTGCCTTGCCAAATGTACGACTTGACATTTATCTCTAGGATTTTTGAACAGTATCATGTAATGACAATTCAAATGAATGGTTCGCATCTCTTTACCCTGCTGAAATAAATTTTGAACGATAAATATTATAGAAAGATTTCGGTGATGGCTTCCTTTCGTAAAAAGTAAAAAGTTACTTAAACGAGTATCGCTCGCTAACTCAGACATTAAATCATCAATGATAATTAGTGCATTTTGCAGGGAATTGAGGTTCGATGGTAGTCCTTCTTCAAACTGCACATTTTTCATTTTACTAAAAATAGGTTGATATGCTCCATAGCAATAAATTATACGCTGAGGCATAGGAGAAAGCAGACTTTCTTCGATGACTCGTTTCAATATATATCTTACCGGATCAAAATATGTCTTACCGGATCCTGTCGGACCGCTGATGAGAGATGTGGAAGGGTGTTTCAACACAGGCCACTCCATTTTGTGGGGTACTGATGATCTTCAGAAATGTGTGAAGCTTTATATACTCCTCTCGTTTAAGAAAAGGCTAAGAAAAAAAAAAAAAAAAAAAGAAAAAAAAAGTCAACCACACAATTTTAAAAATTTTACTGCAAAATATAATTTTTTTTAACATTAATCCAAACAATAACCCTGCAATGAAATAAAATAAATGAGATGCATACCACTTAAAATCCATAGGGAACAGTAGTAGTTAGATCTTCTTTTAGGACCCTTTTGTTGTAAACAATTTTGTACAGTTTTGTTTCTGCCTTAGTTAAAACTTTCCTCTTTTTGGCATCTCTCATGATTTTATGTTCATCGTACATGGCGATTGTTGTTTTTCGATCCATCGAGCACACTAAATTCTTAATCTCCAAAAAATTTAAAATCTGTTGATTTTTGAAGTTGAGGAGAGAGAAACCTCGAACTTTACAGCAAGTCATTCCTCGGGCTGTTACATAAGCGTAATTTTTAGGGCCTCCTGAATGGGGGAAAAAAATATGCTACAGAAACTACAAGAAAATAAAAGATCAACCTAATAAAAAATAAAAATAAAAATGAAGCTCACCAGAGACAAATGTAGTAATAGTATCTCCATTGAGTTCATCTGTAAAATCCCCCCAAAAAATTACCAAGAGGCGGATCGTTGGTAAAATCGCTTGCGTATATATAATTGAATCCGTGTCATGATACAACACAGCACGGCCCAACTTCTCCATTTCACTGTAAAGCTTTAACCGTGCCCATGCAGTAGTAGTAAAAGCTGCCAAGAACACATTTGTGGATGTGTCCTGTGGAACAAAATAATGTTTATAGTCCCATTGCACAGCAGCTACTTCAGGAGTCGGAAAATATAAGTCTTTGATCTGGAGGAAAAGTTAGCAGGTTGCAAGATTAATCATTTAAAAATATACATCTTAATTTACATTAGAAAATAAAATTACAAAACTTACATTTTTTTGTTGGATCTGCTAATAATTTATTGAAATCAGGTAATGTATGAACATAAGTCAAACGTATCTTGTTCAGGTTCATTCCCCATCTTTAAAGAAAAAAAATATATAAGAAAAGAATGAGCATTTTTTTTAAGAAATAATAAATGATATAAAGATGTGAAACAACTCTTTCTATTAAAAAAAAACACTATAATAATTACATACCGTCCCCAGAAGCTGTTCAAAGCCAATTTGGCTACTTGCCGTCTTCCAGGATTCTTCTTAATATTAAATTCATCAAGCTGCACACCCCCTCTCGCTCAAAATAGGCTTCAATGTAGCGTTTTCGTTCGGTCGAGCTTACACAATCGGCTGGCCAGCCGCTGCTTTCTTGTTTTATTTTTAAAAACAAGTTGATATAAGATTGAAATAGAGTATCCGTAAATTGAGAAAAAATGGAGAAAAATGGTACACTTCATAAATCTAAAAAAAAAAAAAAAAAGATAGTGGGAATATGAATATAAATAATATACAATAAAAAATACATGCTGTGACATTTATAACACATTCAATAATACTAATAATTACCCAAAATACTTACCTTTGTTATACAGTAACCTTTTTTTCACTGCTAATTTGACTTCTTCAGTCACCCATGTGCCAATGATGGCTCTCTCTCATCATCTGAGTGCTGGCAAATGCCTTGATACATTAATTCAGCACAAGTCTTGCAGAGGGGAAACATCAGTTTATTTTGTGCTCTGTACGGCAATACGGGGAGGTATAAACCTCGAGGAGGCAGTATTCGGCACTTTTTATAATACCGAAATAGTTTTCCAAGGCATCAAAATTTTCAGTAATAATATTAGGGTGTCCGACGGGGTACAAACAGTATTTATTGACCTAGGAAAAAATTGAAAAAATATGAATAATCGGAAAAGCGATTTTTTTTTTTTTAAATAAGACATGCGCGTTTAATTTAATAAGATTATTTTATGCCAAAACACAGAAAAAAAAAGTATTTACCCATGGATACAGTGAAGTGAAATCCACATACTTTGCATCACCCTCATAATACAGCTGAATGGCATTTGTCCGCCCGCCGAAGAAGAAAGCATCTTTAGGATTCAATCGATCCTGAAGCTCGTGACTTAGAAGAAAATATTTTACTTTTTCATCTGTTTTCTTTTTTCATCTCAAACTCATGCTCCCACATTTCAATTACATTATACCCTCGAGCACGTAGCTGGTAAGTCTTGTCTACCGTTTGTTGTCGCAATGTCGACATGGGTAATTTTGTTATGGGGGGTGGAGTGCATCTCCGTCAAAACAGGTGGAGCAACCGTGAAAGAAACATCCCTGCGATAGTTAAAAATTTTTTCGTATAATACCAATAAATAAATAAATTAAATAATATATTTATAAATAAATAAATATTGAACTCTTACGTAGTATTGATAAACAGTATTTGTTTCTTTGCAATATCCGTCTACAGATATACCATCCAATCGTCTTTCTCCTTTTCCGTTCAAAGCGTGTTCGATTTCAATGCTCTCTTTTTGGGCAATAAAATCAAGCCAACGAATACAGTCAGGACTATGATTCGTGCGATTGATATAACCTCCTACAGGTATCATTGCGATGGTATTAGGTATTATGTGTCGGGATCTGTAAACCGCCATACACGCTGATGCAATGGTTATGTAACTGAAAATAAAACGGACAAGAAAAGTGTAAATCATATATACATAAAGTATACATGCACGTATACAATACGTTGTTACAAAATGACAAAACCATGTAAAAGAAAAGGTTTGTAAAATACCAAAAGGGGTCTACTCCTGTAATTTCTAAAAACTGATTTCTAAATTCAACGCAACATCTACGAAGGATATCAACATCTGATCTGAAAACGAAAAAAAAGAAAAGAGTAAATAAATAAATAAAACATGGTACCAAAAAAAAAAATACACCTAAAAAAGACGGATCATAATGAAGGATTAGAAATAGATTGTTGATACAAACCGGCAATACGTGAGAATTTCTTCTTGGAAATCAAATATATCCTTCTCGTGTTCTTTATGCCATTCCAAAAAGGAGGTTCGCACCGCACTAGTCATACAATCAGGATTGTAGTACTTAGGCTCAGGTAAAAATCCCACATAATTTTGATTTTCTTTCTTGTTGAAAAGGTGCGGCGGAAAATATCCTTTTTTTAGTTCTGTAAGGCCGAAACAAGCAGGCAGCTTTGAGAGAGCCATCGGCAGGAAATTAAAAGAATCAATAAGTTTTATGTTGAGGGCGGTATGGGTGATTACCATCACTTTAGAGCCATTAGGGATTAGGGATTACTTCAGGTGCCGTACGTACCCTGTTCTAAAAGCCATGCCATTATAAACTGACCGTCAAATCAAATCTGTAAAGAAAAAAAAAAAAATTATTATATTTTAAAAAATGTATTATATTTTAAAACAATAGCCCTATAATATATATATGCAGATTAAAAATAATAAGAATACATTTACCCCTTCATATTGTGTGCAATAACAGTGTAATTTTTTTGTGCACTGTTTGTAAACAGCCAAGAGCAGAATTCATGACATGCTTCGTATCCTTTAAATATTTTCTCTTGGCCATCTTTGTACTGCGCTACAGCAAAGTTTACGATGTGTTCCCCTGATGATTGGTCAGTTTCGAAATCAAAGAAAATTAATTTATCGGATGGACTTTTCGCAGAAATGAGTTGTAAGAAACAATGATGTTCTGACGCTATAACATACTCTTTACACGAAGGGCATTTGATAGTCCCGCAACGATGTAAAATTTTAGGACACTGCCGTCGCATGATAACTTTTGAGCATTGTCTGCACTGATACATCTGTAATTAGGAAAAAAAAAAAGTAGAACAAAGATTTTTTAAAAATATATTTAGAAAAAAAAAAAAAAAAACGTTTTAAAAATGTAAGTATTAAAAACTTTTTTTTTTTCCCCTAGTTGAGTAATACTTACCCTATCGCATACTGAATGCTCTTGTCTACCTGTGACGGCTTTATGCGCTGCAAAGCAGTCCTCAGATTGACAGAGGCGATCACAATCTTTACATCTTTTAGGCAATGCTGGAACGCATTGAAATCTTAGGCAGACATGACACATATTGTCACACCTGTGATCTTCTGGACGGTCATATGGCTTTTCACAATTTTCGCAATAGTTTTTCGAACCATAAAAACCGTGTAAATTTGTAATGACATCAAAATGGCCATTGTGTTGCCACAAATTAATGCGACGAGTTCGATATCTTCCTTTATACGAGACCTAGAAATAAACAGTTTATAAATATAATTTCATTTTACATTTTACATTTTTTTTTTCAATTTAATTTTTTTTTTTTTTTTGTTTAAAATCTTTGGCTTACTTTATTTAAATTTTCACTGCTTATTACTACGATTTGTATATTTAGATGATTTTCAAATGTGCAGATTTCAGTGTATGTACAAGGACCAAGAGGAACTTCAGCACACTTGTGTAATTCTTGAGCTCGTAGCATTAGAACAGATCGTCTCCGATCCCGTATAGAATTAAGCGCTGACTTGTCTTGCTCAAGATAAGCTAGGGCATATACGATTGCTTTTGCGCAACACAACCCTTCATCATCTGACGGGATGGAAAGGACAGAGTGTTTTTTTAAGACGATCTACTTGAATGTTGATTATCTTTGCTCTACCTGCACCGATATCCCTGCGAATCGTGATCACATCTACTAGGAAGCCTGAATCCAGCCGAATTTCATCTTTTGACTGCAGAGAACTTTCATAATAACCGATAATACGGTCTCCACCGTCATGGAAGATACGGCAATAATTTTCGTAGACATGGGTTTATCCAATCCATCGGCTTGGATACACATTCGTATCCAATCTGTCGGCCTTAGATTTTCTGTTGACCGTTGAATTAATATTTCAAACAGCTGTCTAACAGATTCAGTTACGGCTAGAAGAGGCCTGTTGCGAATATTTTGAGGCAGACGATTCATATCAACACGTGCCTGGAAGGTTATTTCCTCGCCTTGATACTTTCGGTTACGACGCCGTGCCTTCTCTTTGAGTATAATAGCATTTTCCATCTGGAAAAGAAAAGAACATAATTCAGTGTAAATGAAAATAAGCACACACGCAAACACACCATAAGCCCTAAAACAGGAGAAAAAAACTCACATTTACTGAAATGTCATGTTCCACATATGCAGGTCCTTTAGATGGAGCAGAAGGTTGAGTCTAAAAGATGTATAGACATCACAGTGATAGTGATATGAAAAACATAACAAACATAGAAAAACATAAAAAACATAGAAAAAAATAATTCTCATATATATTTATATATATATTAAAAACTGATATTACCTCATATCCCGAGCCTACTTGATAGTAAAGAGGCAAAACCAAAGGATTCTCCAAAAATATCTGCGAAGTTTCACTTAAGAGCTAAAGAAAGTAACAAAGAAAAGTAACAGTTGTGTTTAAAGAAATTTAGGTTCAGCTTATATAAAAAAAAAAATACAAAAAAAATTAATGACAGGAAAAAAAAAAAAAAAAAAAAAAAAAAAAAAAAAAAAAAAAAAAAAAAAAAAAAAAAAAACTACGTACTTCATCTCCTGAATCACTAAAATAATTTTCAATGAATATTTGAGATGTTTCACTCAGGCACTAAATAAATTAAAAATAGTGAATAGTCTTTTTCTAGGTGGGGCAAAAAACTATACATTGTAAAAATAAGCCACAGAAGGAAATAAATAAAACTAGCTTACCTCATCATCAGAATCTCTTAAAAGCGCATGGAAATCCTCACACTACAAAATAATAGTATTTTTAATCATGTAAGTATTACAAGCACGTGGTCAAAGAACAATTGAAAATAATATGGCGATATAACTGTTTTGAAACGTTAATATTACAAACAAACACGTGTTTCAACAAAACAGGGTAAAATATAATAAAAAAATCTAAGCCGTGTAAATAAAACACATAAATAAAATTTAGCTTACTTGATCATTAGAATCTCTTACAGATACATCGGAATCCTCACACTACAAAAAATTTTAATTGCGTGTCAGTATTACAGGCACGTGGTCAAAGAAAAAAAAAAAAAAAAACAAAACACTAAAATAATAAAATTAAACACATAATAACCTTAATACATTTTATATATAAATAAAATAAAAATAAATAAAATAAATTTTAAATATGAATACTTACTTGATCAAAAAAGGGTTCCAAAGAACGTTTACTGTTTCTTGAAGCCATTTTCGCAGATACGAACGAAGAGAATTTCTTGTTTTTTCAAAAAGCGTGGTAACAAACTTCTAGAATTTAGCAAGTAATGAATTTCGGAGGCAATCCAGCGGTTGAAACTCGGCTCCGAACTTTTTACTTTGTCTGAATACGCGGATTGGTTAAGAGGGCATGACATCATTTTTCTGCTTTCTGATTGGTCCACAGAAATGTATTCGTTCACCTACGCGGATGTCTACACAAAGGGAGTGAAAAGGCAGACGCCATTTCCCAACCAAATCATGCACAAACATGATAAGGGTGACGTCATTTACCCACCAAGAAAATTCTTCAAAATGGCGGCTATAGAGGAAATCCAAGATGGCGGAGCACGGAAAAACCTTATGCAGATAATTAAGAACCATATCAACCAAGGAATTGTGGGGTATCGCTTAAAGACTTGGATGCGGTCCCCCTCAATTCCCTTTTTATTAATTATTGGGTGGTAGCGAGTTCGTACCCCGTGAAAAGGAAATATATTACATTTTCATATTATTTTTTTTACAATCCTGTTACTTTTAGATGATGTTCTGGACGCTAGATGGCGCCAGCAGTAACATAGCTTCAAGAAAATCAGTACAGATGTAAAAATATCATTTTAACTCTTTCCCTGCAGATAATAAAATAATTTTAAAAAATTCATTTGATAAATTGAAAATATTAATTAAAAATTAAGCACAAAATAATCTTTATAATATCTTAAAGAAGGTAATCAATGTTCGAAAAAAAAAATTAAGAAAGAAATTAAAATATATGTCTTCTACCCCTCTTTCATCGTTTAAAAGAAACTTTTCGATCGGTAAACTCGTTGAACGCTTTGCCTTTTTTTTTTCTAAGTACGAATTTTTAGTCTTCTGTGGTAACACAAAAGCGTGGCTCAGTGGTTAAAGCGCGTAGCTGGAGATCTCGACATCGTGGGTTCGGGCCCACGCAATTTTTTGAAAAACTGTCATGAAGGGCAGCATAAATCACCGTACAAAACAAAATGGCCGATGTTCTCCAAAGACCACGTGATTAATAAATTAATTAGGTAAGTTAAATAATAATTAATTAAATCCTTCATAAATACTTACCGAATAAAATTAATGAATGCCTCGGCGATTCAGCACGCACGGCATGGCGGGGAAAAGGATGAGTCATTCCAAAGGAACACCACGTGATCCAATATGGCGGGCGGTCACGTGACATGGCGGATGGAAGTCACGTGATCCAATATGGCGGAGGCCCCCCCCCCGTTGCGTCATCCTTTGTTCTATTACGTCATGGCGGCATCCTTTTGCCGCATATAGTGGGGGGTTATACTACTGGTTATTACAGTTTATAGAGTTTTTTTAATCCTTTTAATAATGCAAAATTTCACTAAATTTATGCAGCATGAGGACCTTACATTTAACAAAGAATGAAGAGACCATAGGAAGAGGGTCGTTTCATAATGTTTTTAAAATTTGGATACTGATCGGGATTTTATGTGATTATCATCAGTTAAGGGGTAAGATCTCGATAATGTAAATTAAATGAAGAATCAATATTTCATCCGAATTCGAATGGCATGAATATACTGTAAAATATTTCATAGAATATAACGGGATGTTTAGGCATAGGCTAGAAATTAATGAAAAAAATGTACTGCACTGCTTTTGAAAATTGCTCTGTTTCCATTGAAGATGTATTATATTCATCATTTCATACGCTTCACGCTTTAATGTGTCCTATAGGGCTGTGTGTTTTCGTAGCTCATTGCAGCTGTTTTGAAGGAGATATGTATTTACTCGTTCAGATGTGCTTTCTGTAAGACGAAAAGGCATATTACACATTTCGATAGTGGATACCAAAAAACAAAACATTTTTTCTACCATCTCAAGTATCTCAACATCCTCATTACCACTGCACATAACAAGCATATACCTATTTTACAGAACGATTTTCAGGTAGAACTTTACGTAACATATCACGATTGATTAGATGTTTAGAGAAAAAATGTTACAAATGAGATCTGAAATATCACTACTTTGAGTTACAAAATCTATACAGGGCCATGTAAACATATAAGCTAAGGTCGGACGGAAATTTCATTGCTTGGTTTAACGCATGCGTATTATGATGCAAATAAATAAATAAATAAAAAAATAAACATTGAAATATTTTGAATAATTTCCCATGTTTAACATTAATTCATTCAGAATAGAGGATTATTTCCCGCCGTTAACTGCCTCTACCGTAAGTGCTCGCCGAGCAATGGACGAACTCACATGCTATAGCAAATCCTAATTTTAAAATGTCCATTGGCATCTTTATCAGGTATTTTATGCCTGCTTTCCGTAAGCCTTCGGGGTGTTGCTGGAAGCATACTCGAAGAGTATTCAAAATTCAGGGCCCAAGTCTCGGTCAAGGCGTTGCAAATTTTTCTCGTCTTCTGCTTAAAAGAATTCTAATGAATCTACAGTGGCGCCCAAACTAAAAGGTGGAGGAAGATAATTCACCACCACAAGGATTTGGCCACTGGTCGGCTAATCCCCAGTCGCCCTGTAAAAGGGATGTATATAAGGTATCTTCTCCCTCCTTTCTGCACGCCTTTGTTGTGTAATTGGAAGCACACTCGACTCGTATTTGAGACGTCTGGGGCTCGAGTTCCGGCGAAAGCAGTACACATGTTTCACGTCTCTTGCTTAAAAAAATCTGATGTGTGCACCACATGACTTCCTTGTACGGAATATTAAATTATACACATTTTTTCTCGCACTTCATTTAAACTTATTGGATTGAATTAAATCTACTTTATTGATAGCGCATAAACCACAATAGAATAAATGCACTCTTTACAATTCACTATATTTATTTACCATTAAATCAACTTCGTCAATAGCGCATAGACAGAACTGAATATATGCCCTTTTTAAAATTCACTATATTTGTTTACCATAGAGACACTCTGGCCCTAGGCTCACTTAACAGCGCTATATTTAAATCATTTTTTAACTGAGAATGCACAAAATTTATATCATCTTAAGAATTATCTAATCGTTGCCACATGTTCTATTCAAATACTATAATAAATCAAAAATGATGTATAAAAGAAATTAAACAAAGAACAACAACAAAAATAGAAAGCGTGTTTACAGAGGATTCGGTATTTCTCAATGAATTAAAGCATGATTTAATTCGTAATAATAAAAGAAAGCCGTTATCTTTGTTATTGCGAAGTTTACTTTCTCTAGATTAGCAACAAATCTACTATTCTGTTGTTTCAAATTGTAGGGGTTTATATTTATTTTAACTAACATTTATTTTAAGTTTAAGCTATCTTTCCTGTCAAGCCTTTTCCCCTGGAATTGCCAATGCCAGAGTATGTAAATCGTAGTAGAACGCGTAGAGTATTCAAATTTTAGCAGAAGTAATTGAGTTTAAATAGAAGGGAAACGAGATTGTAGGTATGCATCTTGAATCACAAGCGTGAAGGTTGCTTGGTAGAAAGTTTAAGAACCGCGCGTTTCGGCCTGTGTGTCTATTTCGACAGTTCGTTGAATCTTTCAAATTCTAAATCAGAAAGTTTGCTGAATCTCAGCTGTACCTTACGCGGTTAAGATAGTTACAATTATAGAGCCTCGTAGATAGTGACTTCGTTAGTTATGCATCCTGTCATTTATTTTTTGTTGTACTTTTCTACTTTTGTTTAACCGCCGGGTCGGCGTAGTTTGTGAGCGTCAAGTGAACGCAACTGTAATTTCTAAAGTGAAATAAAAAGGGAGTTAAACCCTTCTTAAGAGTCTGTGTAATTTCCAGTTCATAGCAGTCACTACTACTATTGCTGACAAGTTGGAGCCTCCCAACATCACAAAATATAAACAAGCAATGGCCGATATGGCAAAAATTATTAGACTTAGCAGCACTTAAACAATTTTTAAATTGCTGATAATTCTAAAAATATTGCATACAGATTTACTAAAGGAATGAAAACCTTAACCTGAAGATAAGAACAGCATAATTCAATTATTCTTAAAGCAAAAAAGGCACAATTTACAAACATATGAGAGTAAAGAAACTGTGATCACTGAGACGAGTAACAGAGTGGATATATATTTATACATATATTTATATACTTTTGGTGCGGCTTAATTGCAACCAAAATAAGAGGTGCACATCTACATGTTATAGCAGTCCTATATACAAAATTTCAACGTTCTGAGGCTACTCGTTTTTGAGTTATGCGAGCTACATACGCACGTACGCACAGACGCCACGAAAAATTCTCTTTAGAATTCATTTTAAATTAGTTTTACAATTTTTTTGGTGGAAAAGGAATCTTTTATTCTGTTCTTAAGAACAGATGTCAAGTAAAAACATCGTTAAATTGCATTCGATAGCGGTGAAAATGGATATTTGCGTTGAAATACGTATGATGCCTGAAACTTCCTTTTTCTGCAATACTTCCTTTTTCACTTCGTACAAGGAAGTAAACACCTAATGATTCTACACTCATGTCAATAAATTAAGGATAATGCAAAATCAGGCAAAGAAAGAGTTAGAAGCAAAACAAATTGGACTTATTT